CTCTCAAGTGCCAATCACCACGCCGTCCAGCCATGACAAAAGCTGATGAAGAATTAACAGTATATTTGACCACCCTCGGCATGGGCGAAGGATTAACATGAACTCCCTCAACTTGTAAGTTTTAAATCTAGAGGGGTGTGATTCATTTTATAAATTTCAATTTGAGTTTGTCTTAACATTTAATGTATTTTTTAAATTTTGTTCTTAATTATTTATTCTCTCTCATTTGTCATACTCTCTCTTATAACATTTTTTCACACATTCTCTTTCATCTTTTTTCTCATTTATTACAAGGACATATCTGATAATAGAATATATTTTAAACCTATTTATTGCTTTTAACTAATTGTTTGTTATTCACGAATTAGTTATTTAAAACTTCTAATAAGAATTGGATGGAGTATATTTGACCACACTCTACAATGGCTTTTAATATCCTCACTATTTATTATGAGGGCATATTTAAGAATAAAAATATATTTCCAATCTATTTATTGCTTTAACTAATTGTTTGTTGTTCACGAATTAGTTATTTGAAATTTACAATAAAAATTAGATAAAGTATATTTGACCACCCTCTGCAGTGAGTTTTAATGTCCTCACTCTTTAATATACTTTTTTTTGGGTGTAAATTCAAGGTATTCTCAAGTCCTACCAACGAGTATACTTTTTGGGATTCGAATTTGCATTCTCCTCACTACTAGAGTGAGATTGCTTATTATTTCAACCAATAGCTTATTAGTAATATTTTTATAACATCCCAACTTTTTAAATGTTTCTTTAATTTTATTATTATATAAAATTAATAATATTTTAATACCTTACTAATATAAATTGATGTCGTTTTGAATTTTTATAATTTTTTAAGATCTGCATTATAAAGAGTATTAGAGAGTAGCGCATTATAAGCCCTCTGTCCCGCATCTACAATATACCACTGCTACAAATATTTACATGACACTTTATTTTATCTTTATTTAATGATTATTAATCAATATTCACATCTTATTCAGATTAATTATGTACAATTTTTTTTGAAAAAAAAAAAGAGGACCCCGATGAGATTTTACTCAACGGGCTCTTACGATTCGTCAATCAAGGTCATCAGCTATATATATACAACACCAAAACACGTCTCCATGACTCAAATCCATTCGGATCACTAAAGTACTCCACAAAAGAGAAGTACCAAACAATGATGATCACCTTCTTGTTCTATTATTTCCTTCTTTCTCTTGCTTTCTTCTTCACTCTTAAGCTCTTCGTTCAAAATAAGTTCAAAAACATCCCACCTGGTCCACCTTCTCTTCCCATTATCGGCAACCTCCACCAACTGAAAAAGCCACTTCATCACACCTTTCACCGGATTTCTCAACGTTACGGCCAAATCTTTTCTGTTTGGTTTGGCTCTCGTCTCGTGGTCGTTGTGTCGTCGCCTTCTGCAGTCCAAGAATGCTTCACCAAAAACGACATCGTCCTGGCAAACCGGCCGCGCTTTCTCCTCGGTGAGCATATTGGCTACAATTCCACCACCTTAGTGTTCACTCCCTACGGCGACCACTGGCGCAACCTCCGCCGCATCACGGTGGAAGAGGTGCTCTCGAACCATCGTCTCAACAAATTCTTGGAAATGCGAAGGGACGAGGTGAAGCGCCTGGTGCAAAAACTTGTTCAAGACTCAAATAATACGGTGTTCGCCAAAGTGGAGATGAAATCAAGATTTTATGAGTTGACCTTCAACAATATGATGAGAATGCTTTCTGGCAAAAGGTACTGGGGAGACGACAATGAGGTTGGGGATGTGGAAGAGGCCAGAAAGATTCGAGAGATTATAAAACAACTGGTGTCTCTAGGAGGGGTAAATAACATTGCAGATTTCTTGCCCATACTTCGGTGGTTTGATTTTGGTCACTTGGAGAAGAGGCTCAAGAGTTTTGCCAAGAGAGCCGATGGGTTCTTGCAAGGTCTCATTGATGAGCATCGAAATGCAAAGCAGAGAGCAAATACTATGATCGACCATCTTTTGAGTCTCCAAGAATCACAGCCTGAGTACTATACGGATCAGATTATTAAAGGCCTCATTTTGGTAAGTGAAATAATAAATAATGTTACGCTTTTACCTTTTTTATTGCATGCAGTTAGATATCTTTTGATTACTTTGTATTATAAGACGTGCATGCAACCTATGTTGAAGTTGAGTGAGTACAGAGTATGCTCAGTATCTGCCTCATTCTAAATTTATGATGGTTAATTATGGAAGAATTTGAAACAAAAAAGGGCTAAATTATACAAAAATTCTCTTGAACTTTTTGTCATATGTAAATAATTCCTTAAAAGTTTATATTTATGTAGATAATTTTCATGCTATTATTTTTGTTCATTATTTATTTGCAAATGGTTTAAAGTTTAGGGGTTTATATGCATATAATTCTAAGTGAGGGGGTTACATATGAATATAAAAATTTAAAGTTTATGGGGTATAAAATTGATTGGTTTGAAGTCATGCGTAGGTTCGAAAGGCCAGGGGTTTGTTATTAAATTTTAAAGGTTAAAGATGTTATTGTACATATTCAATTAATACTATATTGTGAAAGGATTAAGTAAATAGGGAAAGGGAAATATCTATCGAAATAGGCGGCTCAGCTTGTAATTAAGAATTTGACTTCTCCTTGTATTGCAGAATAACGCCAAATATACTATATACTTCAAAATGCTAATTGTGTGACCACTCACTAAATTTAGTCTAAAATTGAATATAAAATTTGTATTAACTGATTTTACTTTGTTAATTTTGACTTATAGGTCCTGGTCTTTGCTGCAACGGATACTTCAGCTGTGACTTTAGAATGGGCAATGTCTAGTTTATTAAACAATCCTCATGTGTTGGAGAAAGCGAAAAAAGAAATAGACACTCATATAGGGCAAGAAAGATTAATCGATGAGCGGGACATCTCAAAACTACCGTACCTACAAAGCATCGTCTCTGAAACACTTCGATTACATACTGCAGCACCATTGTTGAATTCACATGAGGCTTCGAATGATTGTAGCATTGCAGGATACAATGTTCCGCGTGGAACTATTGTGTTAATCAATGCTTGGGCCATCCATAGAGATCCCCAAGTGTGGAGTGATCCCACAGGTTTTAAGCCAGAGAGATTTGAGAAAGAAGGAGAAGCAAACAAATTAATTACATTTGGGTTGGGAAGACGAGCATGTCCTGGAGAAAGTTTAGCTCAACGAACAGTGGGCTTGACCTTGGGGTTGTTGATTCAGTGCTTTGAATGTAAACGAGTAAGTGAGGAAGAAATTGACATGACAGAAGGAGCAGGAGCCACCATGCCAAAAGTTATTCCTCTGGAGGCCATGTGCAGAGTACGCCACCCAGTCATTAACATGCTTCTTTCTTAAAATGTTGTAGAGGATAGCTTGTGCATCCAAAGACATGGAGTTGTGGGAGTTTCTCTAAAGAATAAGAGAAGAGAAGAAGAAGAAAAAAGTAGTGCATGATGTTTTTAGGCCATAGACAACACTTTACTTTAGGTTTAATTTGCTCCTCATATCCCTCTCTTAAAAGTGTAAGTTGGTTAAATAGAAAGTTTTTTGCATGATACAATGGGGACCCTTAAGTATAGATTGCATTGTCAATACTGAAGCTAAGGCAACAATAGCTTTTATAAAATGATAAGTTGTCTTTATTTTCACATGCACTCAGAGACAAAAGCAATAAGTTTGATCTTGTTGTAGTCAAGTGTTGTTGGATGTGTTTGAATGAATGAAAATGAGGAGTATTATATTTATAGACCATGAACTGTTGTCTTGATGAGGAAATGCCTCTTGAATCAATATCATCAATACTTTAACTAAAAGTCGTAACCGATTTATAAATCAATGTGACTTAAATAACGAAAGATTTACTTATTTAGTAATTTTTTCATAAAGGATTAAACCTTTTTAATATAAAGGATTTCCGTAAAAAATAACACAACATTTTTTCATTGATGTCTTTAGAAACCAACCTTGGTATCTTTTAATGTTGTAGCTCTCTATACAGCCCATCATATAAATTTATATATGGACATAACTTTTCAAAAAACACATTTTTTCATTTTAAAAATATCCAACATTTCTTGCTCTATATAAAAAGTCCATTTTTAGTATTTGATGCAATCTATTGCATTAAGACAGGGGGAACATCGGCGCGGAATCTCTCCATTGATAAATATCTCCATTGAGCCTCCATTTACATAAAACGCAGCGTCTAACATCCTTTTTTTTTATAAAAAAAATACACACACACACTAAACGCTGGCGTGACTTCAAGCCTTCAGAGAAACAAACCATTATACGAAGCACAGCATTTAAACATTATTTTCAAGGGAAAAGAAATAAAAGCAGTTTTAAGAAAATAATAAAAAAATATTGGGAAAAAATAAAAGCGGTATTAAGAAAATAATTAAAAAAATTGAAAATAAATCTCTCATTAAAAATTTAATTGGCAAATATGATCTAAAGACTTTATGCAACTTAACTTCTATTGTGTACAATTTAATTTCATTTGTATACAATTTATCTTCTCTTATGTGCAATAATTTTTCTTTATGTGATGTGTAACTCAATTTCTTTTTATGCAAAAAAAAAAAATCTCTTATATGCAAGTCATCTTCTCTATATGTAAACTAATCCTTATATTTAAATAATGTTTTGTGCAGATCATATTTTCTTTATGCAACTTACTTTCCTTTATGTGCAACTAATATTTCCTTGCTAATTAAATTTGTAATGAGAAATTTATCCCCAATTGTTTCTTTTTTTAAACCAATATTACTCTGCTCAATGCTTTAATAAAATGCATAATTTGTATTAAAAAATTGTTATCAAGCAAAAAAAGTAGTAAAAAATTGTTAACTCTAAGCCCGAATGAGGAAGCAAAAGGAAGCACAAAAGAAAGAGATGAATTGTAGCACTAGCGTGAACAAGAAGAGTTGAGTTGGATGACTTCATCTTGGAGGATTTAAGTTCATTTGTGAACCTGCACATGTAATATAGCCTATAAGCAAACAATGTAATGTAATTTTATTGTAATAAAAAAAATATTTGGAAAAAATTGTCTCAATCTTTTCAATATATTTTTATGTGGAGATATGATTTACCTTTGTTAAATGCTTGACTAAATTCTAATGCTTCAAGTGACTTTACATTATAATCCACTGGACTCTACAAGAACAAAAAATAAAATGAAAACATTACAATATGTTTGAAATAAACCGCTCAAGGACTTGACATATGGGAGACTCACCATCATTAATGTTGTCAAGGGCATTTGACCTAGTTCATGTGTATTTGAGATCAATGGACCATGTTGCATTGGCATTGGTGTATTCGACATCGAGGGACCATATTGCATTGGTGGTAGACTGTTTGACACAGAGATGCCATATTGCACTGGAATTGGTGTATTTGAAACAGGAGGGCCATATTGCATTGGCAATAGTGCACATGACGTACCTGAACCATGTTGCATTTGAACTGGTATATTTGATATAGGGGGGTTATATTGTACGGGCACTGCTGTACATGACATAACAAGACCATGTTGCACTGACAATGATGTAGGTTTGTCATGTTGTACTAGAGTTGATGAGCTAGCTATTTCCAATGTATTTTGAGTCTCCTACAAGAATATTAAAAAAATCTCATCAAACAAACATGATGTTATATTGCTATTTATTTAAAAAAAATCAATTTAAAAATTTTTTATCTTTGAAGATTGCGAAGACTTATTACTAAACTTTTTCAAGTTTTTAACTTTTCCTCTTTTCATATTAGGCCTGTCAACCCAACTTTTATCAATCTTTTTGCATTCTCTCTTTTTGAATCCAATGCGTTGACCATCATTTTTACCATCATCATTATCAATATCACCTTCATTGGTAACACCATTTGATGAGTGTTTAATAAGAAGTGCAGACACTTTATTACTAAGTTCTAGCACTGCTTGATGAACCATAAAGAAAGTTTCTGGACACTCAGATGCATCACTTGCTAATTTTATCAGCATTGGACACAATTGCTTATATGGATTTGAGCATTCTAATTTAGGATCAACCTCAATTTCCTTTCCCTTGTTATCATACACCACACCACATCTTGCTTCTCTTGTCCACCTCTTTGAAATATACGTATGTGGAAGTAGCTTGATATCGTGGTCGTATAATATCCTCAGTGCATGACAACATAATATTCCCCATTGTTCAAACTTTTTACAACTACAAGTAATGGTAGCCTCCTTCTCTTCTCTTGGTGGTTCAAATGTCAATGTCCACTCTCCCTTCTTATCAATCCTTGTGATGACATAATCGAATACAATAGTAGCATCATCATCTTCTTTTATCTTTCTTTCTTGTCTCTCTTTTATACAGGTAGCATCACGCAGATCATACTCTTGCTGGAACAAGTCAAAAAGTGGAGGAGTGTGAACTTGAGAAAGTTGTTGAAGCATAGTTGAACTCTTCAAAATCAACCTCGGCAATTTTTGACGTGAGTTAAAATCACTCTTCAATTCATTATATCGTTTATCCACAACAGCCTGTTCAAAAGCTTCAAGGAATTGATTGATATCCCATTTAGGATTTGTGCAATTTTTAATGAATGAATTGATACTTTCATTGAGTTGTGTGCTCCTAATACCAAGAGTCTTTGAGTCTTTCATATAACATGCTGCCCACTTTTCTTTTAACTCGTAAATAGACATCAACCATGGATTATCTGCTATATTAAAATTTGATAATAATGCTTTCCATGCTTCCTCAAATACTCTTACTTCATCACAGTGATACATGCACCAATTAAACTTACCCAAAAAATGAGAGTCACCTTTCATTAAATTTCCAAGATGTTTCACCGCGTTTCTATTAATATGGAATGTGCACAAGCCATGCTTTACATATGGCATCACTTCTTCCAAGGCTCATGCCATTGCGGCATCTTGGTCAGTAAATATAGTAAATGGCATTTTCTTCTTATGTGCGTCTAGAAAAGTTTCAAAAAGCCATTCAAAAGACTGAATCGTCTCATCGTATAATAAAGAAGCACCAAATATCACTGTTTCTCTATAATGGTTAAAACCTGAGAAAATGGCAAGTGGTCTGTTTTCACGATTTGTAGAGTATGTTGTATCAAATGAAATAACATCTCCAAAACAAGCATAATCTATCAACATACGTGCGTCAGCCCAAAACACATTAGTTATTTTTTCTTCTGAATCCATTTGATAAGCATGAAAGAATGAAGGATTTTCTGTTAGTTGCCGTTGGAAATAACGAAATAGACATCCAGCTTCACCATAGACCATTCTTCGTTTCCTCCTTGATGTTAAATAACTTTTTACATCATCTTTAGTATAGCCCAAATTAGCCCTCCCTCCTGCATATTTACTCATTAAGTTAAAAGATTTCTTTTGCTTAATCCCAACATCTTCAGCAATCTCCAATGCATAGCCTTGTGCTTTTGGTAAATTCCTTTGTGATGCCAACATATGAACAGTTTCATGAGGCTCTAGAGAATGATTATGGTCCAAAAACAGTTCAATAATTTTATATCTTCCATTTACTTTTCTAACTATCATTCTGACTTCACATCCTGTTCTTGTCTCCTGTCGAGGCTTCTTAGTTTTGAAATCTCTTTTATCTGGTTTCCTCACTCCTTCCTTATGACAAACATATCTATAATATGTGATAGAACCATCTTTTCTGCTCTTATTAGAGTTTTCTTTTCTAACACCAAATCCCATTCTTCTCCCATAGCCAACCCAATATTGCCATGCCTCTTCTATATTATTAAATTCAAGACCAAGTATGGGAACTATATTGGTATCCATTACTTAAAACTTAAAGATAAGCTGAAAAAAGAAACACAAAAAAAAAAGAAAAAAGAAAAAAACATCAATGTAGACCACTATGAAAAATCAACGTTTGAATAAAAAATAGAATAAATATAAAAGCAAGACTTGAACGAAATTCCTCCTGGGCATCCATGAATTCACGAACAATTCCACAATTTTGAATAGGAGAGTTTCCAGATTATTAAAGACAAATTTTAACATTGAAGAGGAAAAACATAGATAAGAACAACTGAAGAAAATTTTTATCTAACCTTGTTTGCTTGTTCTCGTAAATCACTTATTAATCATTCTTGTAAATTCAAGAAAATTTCCGTGCAGTGAGCCTCATATTATCCTTGTAGTCGCTGTTCCCATCAAATAGTAGGGTCGGCGGCACAAAAATTTTCCTTCAAGTCATGCCAAGTCACGCCAGCGTTTAGTGTGTGTGTATATTTTTTTAATAAAAAAAAAGGATGTTAGACGTTGCGTTTTATGTAAATGGAGGCTCAATGGAGATATTTATCAATGGAGAGATTCCGCGCCGGGGGAACATGTACACACACACACGAATAATTTCCTTCTAGTTCTGTTTTGTTGTTTTGTATAAATAATATTGTTTTGTCCGTTCTTTTCGTCGGTGTCATAACCGGCTGCATCAGTTCTCTGAATTGCATCCATGCATGTATCATCTTCCTTGATTGCAGCAATGATGATGTCCTTTGATCTGTCTCAACTATTGTATGTGCTTCAAGTAGTTTAACTCTGGTTTTCACCTCATCATTTTTGCTTTTGTTGTTGTTTTCATCAATTTACATCTCAAGTTCTCGAGATAGAAATGAAGAAAATATAAAATATATAATTTATAACTATAATTTTCTAGTTTGCTAATTGCTAGATATATATCATTTGGTGAAACAATAACTAATTAAAGAAGTTGGATTTGATTGTTTGATACACACACACACACAAGAGTTTGATCGAATCAGCATCTATGTTTGGATGAATTTGCCATATGAGTCTTGTTTGTCCTTGTTCATTGGCTCTAGAATTAAGACAGAAATGCTCCCACAATTGCCGCTTATGAGAGAGTTTAATATCTGTCATAAATGCTCTCAGAAAGAGTCCCAGAGCATGCAATTTGGATACGGATGTTAAAAGATATGATATTTCAACCATAAGCCAAAACATATAGAATTACAGTTTTTACCAAATAAACGGTAACTTTTTCTTGGATTTTCCTGAAAAATAGGGAACAATAATGAGCTGAGTTGTATTTTTCATCTATAGATAATTTAAAGAGGTTTAATTAGATACTTGAACTACTTTGTTACGTTTTTTCTAGTAATTATGACTTCTCAAAACAACAAAAACAACAACAATAACAATAACAATAACAAGCCTTATCCTACTAGATGGGATCGGCTACATAAATCACACGACGCTATTGTTTCTATCAACAAGTGGATAATAACCTGAGGATTTTGATTCTTTTAAGGGATTTCACCAGCTAAAAGAGGTTATCAAATAATCTTATGCTCTTCTATGTGTAATATAAATAAACAGACAAGATATGAATATTCAGCTCACTTTTAATTCCATATCTAAAGCGCGAGCTCACATTTTACACTAAAAAACCAGATTTTTTTCACTGCCAATTTCTTTGTTGCAAATTGATCAGCGAGGAAATGTTCGCATGCAAGTTTATTTGTCAATCCTAGATTTCTATCTTGTATTATTACATCTTTTAATATATTGTATAAATGATATAATTAGTTTTTTATTATACCAGTTACATTAATTATGTCTAAAACTGAAACTTGATTATATCCCAAGTATGTGTAACTCATAACATCGCATATTGATAATGAAACAGTTCATTTGTCACTCTTTATATGCAATATATTTTCAATTTTCAAAGCAAAGCGAGTGTTTCCCATGGTGTCACCCAGTATTAATTTCTATATACAAGATATTAACAACTACTTCCTCTACATATTTTCTAGGGTTCACATACACACACATATATATATGCTATCATATTACATGCATAACACATTACCACTACAAGAAAATAGCAAGTTAGCAGCGGAACATTTCTAGCGGTTCAAACAAACCGCTAAAAATTTACGTATTTCTAGCGGTTTTACGACAAACCGCTAGAAATTAGCATCGCTTTGACCATAAAGACTGTCGGGCCCACAATTTTCTAGCAGTTATATGCCAACTGCTAGAAAATCATAGCTAGAACTCTTCCTGGGTTTTGGTGCGAACTTGGCTCCAAAATTTTAGCGTTTATTTTCTAGCGGTTTGGGTGACCAAACCGCTAGAGAATGCAAAGAGTCGTCTAATTTTCTAGTAGTTCGGTGAACCGCTAGTAAATCATAACTTTTCTAGCGGTTTTATCGAAAACCGCTAGAAAATATGTAATTTTCCCGAGGTGGTTTTAATAATCGTTAGCAGTTTCTAGCGGTTGTCACCAAAACTACTAGAAAGTTCTAGCGGTTAACTCAAAAACTGCTAGAAAATTTGTATATTTCCCGAGGTATCCTAAATGCGGCGGCCAACCGTTAGACATTTCTAGCAGTTTTAGCGACAACCGCTAGAAATTTCTAGCGATTTGGGTAAAACCGCTAGAAATTCACTGCCTATATATACCCCCCACAGTCATTTTCACTATTTCATTCGTTCGTGAAGCGAAGCTTTGCCGAATTCTCTCCACGAAACATATCCGAGTTCGGACTCAGTTGCATATCCCTATTTTCAGGTAGAAATAGTAATTTATTTATAAATTATTTCTATTCTTATTTTTTATTTAATTTATTATATTTTTGTTTATAAATAATTTCTCTTTTTATTTATTTATAAATAATTACTATTTGTTGTTATTAGGATGAGTCGTCAGCCAGGAAGGCGCCAGTTGATCCTGAGAGGGCAGGACCCAGTGAGAATCGTCGTGATGGTGGTCATGATGCTGGTGAGCTATTCCCCAGCATTCATGACTACGATCTCAGCGAGGAGGATATCCTTAGCTTTATGGAGCAGGACGATATCGAGCGGATTGAGGAGGCTCATTTTACTGGGGATGAACAACCCCATGCTGATGCTGATGCTGCTGAGGAGGAGGAGGAGGAGCAGGAGCAGGTTCAGGGGAATGAGAATCCCCATGCTGAGCAGCGTCCTGCTCCCAGACGTTAGGCCGGTTTTGAGGTGGAATTTGAGGGTAAGTATTTATTTAACTTTTTTTAAATTTGACAACTATTTAATTTATATAGAAATTGTTTTAATTCATTGATATATAATTTATTTCTTAATTAAATTTTGCAGACTCTGAGGGGAACAGGTCCTATAGGAGGCTGACAGCCAGAGAGCTGTCTATGATGACGAGCGGACGGGTGGTTGTGCCGCTCAATGAGTTGGGCCAACCGACGAAGAAAGGTGGCCAGTTGTACAACAAGTACGTGCGCCTCCTTGGTCAACAGTGGACGCTGTTCCCCATCTACGTGCAGGACTGGAAGAAGATCACCTCAGAGAAGAAGCAGCAAGGTTGGGAAATGATGAAGATAATATAAAATTATTATTTATAATTTTTTAATTTAAATAAATGATTATATATTTTGTTTTCAAATTATTTAATTGTTTGATTGTAATTTTTTATTTATTTAATTTATTTGTTATTTATAATATTTTTTAAGTAGTTAAATGAATATATATTTTATTTAAATTACTTTATTCTTTGAAAATAATTTGTTATTGATTTCATTAATTTATTACTTATAATAATTTTAAATTAGTTGAGTAAAAATATTTTTTCATTTAAATTACTTAATTGTTTAATTATGATTTGTTATTGATATAATTTATATTTTATTTATAATATTTTTAAATTAGTTAAATAAATATATATTTTTATTGAAATTGCTTAATTGTTTGTTTATAATTTGTTATTTACTTAATTTATTGTTTTAATCACAGAGTAAATTTATATTGGGGGAGGAGTTGAGGGCCGACACGATCAAGAGGCTTGGGGTGGCATAGAAGAACAGGAGGGTCGACCTGTGGAGGGAGAAGAAAGGTGACGGGACAAGGCCCTTGCAGGAGATACTGGCAGATGTACCTGGTGGAGTCCCGGAGCAAGACTGGTCCAGTTACGTCTATTTTAGGATGTCGGCTGACCAGATGGTATGATAATATTGTATTAATTATAATTTCTTTATTTTTTGTCCAATTTGACTAATTTAATTTAATTTTTTTACATTTTGCTTCAAGCTCTTTCCGCGAGAAATGCTGGGAGCATCAGGCATCAGACGATACGTCATAGGGCTGGATCCAGAGCTTTGCGATCACCTATGACGAGATTGTGAGTACTTGAAATAAATTTGTTAAATATGTATATGTATTTAATTTGTAACTAATTATTTCTTTCATTTCATTTACAGAGGGAAAAGACGCAGCAGGAGGGGGGATACACGCCCACTTATGGCGAGATGTGGCCGATTTTGTATAGACCTCGAGACGGGCATGCGTCGGATGAGGTTGAGGAGATAGCGGTAAGTAATGAATTAAATATTAATATAATATTACAGTATAAATATCATTTCATACTAATTAGCCTCTTTATATTAATTTTGATAGGCACGATAACTCAGGTCGATACCGAGCTATGTGAGTCTCAGGGTCTGCCTTGGATCCCACCGCCTCACTTTTAGCGGGTCGTGGCCGGGCACAGCACCCTAGTCAAGTTAGCGGGCTCGGACTTGGACCTACACTGACTAAGTTGCCCTGCTCAGGTGGCACTGGCCCTTCGTATACTGCGGGGAGCTCTCGGACGAGCGAGGGAGCGAAGCGGCCGAGTTTCTCATCCTCAGAGGAGTTGCGAGAGGAGCTTAAACAAGAGTTGGAGGCCAGCATCGAGGCAAGGGTGGAGGCCCGGATCGGGGAGCATGATCGTCAGTTGCAGGAGTGTGATACTCAGTTCCAGTTGCAGCTTGACCAGTTCA